GCGCTCCCGCCGTTTCCCGCCCCGCCCCGCCCCGCGCGCCCCCTCAGGCGCCCTCAGGGGCTGCCCAGGGGAAAAGACCCACAAAAAACGACAAAGAAACCGAAAACTCAACCGGCCCAACGCTCGCCTCTCCCCAAAACCATCCCTTGCATTTCATTTCGCGGCCACTGCTGCGCCTGGCCTGGCTAAAGGCAGAAACGACTCAAAGGGCCACCTGGCCTCAAACTCCCCTCTTTCAAATGCAAACCTTTCCCGTCCAAGGAGTCACAATAATACAAACTTGCATCCTGACAGATCGGCATCTGCTTTTCCCTGTCCCCCTCCGGCAGAAGCGCCGCTGGCCGCGGGTCGGAGCCCGAGGGGTCGCTCCCAGTCCTCCCCAGTGCCCGCAGCGCCTCCCCCAGCAGGGAGGGAGCGGGAGAGACCCGGGCAGAGTTCTGGGGCTGGGGGAGCAGGGCCGGGCTGGGCCGGGAGGGACCCCAAAGCTCGGCCGGTGCCACCCCTGCCATGGCCAGGGACACCTTCCACAGCCCAGCTTGCTCCAAGCCCCGGCCAGCCCGGCCTTGGGCACTGCCAGGGATCCAGGGGCAGCCACGCAATCTGGGGCAGGTTTGCCAGGAAGGCTTTGGCGCTGGGAACAGCTTGTGCAGAATTCCCCTATTCCAGTCCTCAAGTTGCTGAGAAGGACTTAAGAATGAATGTACTGTCCATTTACATCACCTTGAACTATTCCTCAGTAAAATAGTCCTACTGGAAGGTGGCTGCTTTGGGGTTTTTAAAGCCTTTGTAATAATGAATCATTATGCATCAGGCCACACTGTTTCTCCTAAGACAAGGTCACCTTATTTCAGTTGCTGTGAACGTCTTGTTTCCTCAGTCACCCCGGGTGAAATAATTCTACTTACAGACATTTTCCAGTTAGGCCAAAGTGCTTCAAAGGTGTCCCCTGGGTGAGGATTTGGGCAGTTGCAGCCTCGGTCACCACGGGGGCCCTGCCGGGTTTGGGCTGGGCAGTGTGGGACACACAGGAGACCGTGGTTGTGCCAGGGAAATGAGGCAAGAAGGAATCCAGGGGTTTTAACGTTTCCCTGCATGCTGTCCCATTCCTGAGAGGTGCTGGACAAGAGGGAGATGGGTCAGGAAATCTGGACATGAGACTCTTCCCTCTGGCCCCGATCTCTGCTCGCTGGGAGCAGGGACAGGACCCAGGGAAGGGCTGGAGCTGGGACAGGGCAGGCTCAGGGTGGATCTCAGGACAAGGTTCTTCCCCCAGAGGGTGGTGGGCACTGACCAGGCTCCCCAGGGCAGTGGGCACGGCCCCAAGGCTGCCAGAGCTCCAGGAGGGTTTGGAAAATGTTCTCAGGGACAAGGGGGATTTATAGTTATAGTTATTTAATCATTAATATAATTAATATAATGACATATTTTCTTAATTCTTAAAACAAACTAAGTGTGGACATTCCTGTGTTAGTTCTGGGCCTACTCTAAAAGCACAGGTCAGTGGCTTTGGGACAGAGGGGAAGGGTGAAAGGGAAGAGAGAAAGGAAGAGATGAGTTAAAGAGGGAGAGAGAGAGAGAGAGAGAGAAAGAGAAAGAGAAAAAGAGATCATCCGTTCTGGTTCCAGTGTCAGTGCAGCTCATGGGAGGTCAGTCTGGAATCCAGTGTCGATCCAGCTGATGGGATGTCAGTCCTTGTTCCAGCATCAATCCAGCTGAAGGGTTGTCCAGGGTCCTGGGTTTGCTGGGGGGACTTTTTCATGGCCAGGGTTCCCCCCACCCCGAAGGTGGATTTCTCACTTGTGTGCAAATTTCTCACTTGTGTGCAAATCACTGGTGGTAGAATCATTTGCATGTGCAGCTGCTGGTGGAATTGAAGCTTTAACTGGGCGAGTTCTGCCTTGAGTTCTTCACACACAGGCCATTGGATTGTTTTCCACTTCTCGTAGTTCAATCTGGCAATGAAATAAAAAAGAGCTGTGAAAACCATACAACACATTGTGTATTAGAACTGCAACAAAACAGGCAGTAAACCCCAGAAACAAGTGAACTGTTAGTTGGAAGGATGTAACTGTTTCAACAACGTACCTGGCTTTTGTGTCTGTCCCTCTCAGTGCTGCTCAGCCGTTCACTGTCGGATTCTAAAGCAGTTGCGCTGCACAAATATTTGTTTCAAACCACGTTTAGTGTTTCTCTGAGCACGATTCAAAACTCCCACTCCATAACGAGAAAGGGATGTCCCCCTGCCGGGGATTTTAAGATGTGCAGCCACAGTAAATCCCTTCCCTGCAAAAACAAGTGCCTGACATGCCCACACTGAGTTACCACCTTCACACACTGGTTTGAAACAGAAGACTCAGTATTTCCAGGAACACCCCCACACCCCCATTCCTTAAGCAGCAGAGCTTGGGGAAAACATCCTATGGAGTGTTACTAAGTTGCTGCAGCGCTGTCCTGAGCAGTTTATAGTGTTGAGCCTCTTGTCAGAAAGTGTCCAGAACTCACCTTTTCTTGGACCCGGCCCGGGGCAGCCCCGGCACTTGTGGCCTTGCAGCCCCCGCTGTGCCCGGAGCCCTGGGGGGCTTTGCCCTCGGTCCCACACGACCCCCGCTCTCCACAGGGCACAGCTTTGCAGGCCGGGCTGGGCAGCACAGCAGGAATCGGCCCCGTGGCCGTGCCAGGCACTCGTGGGCAGTGTCTCCATGGCCCGGGCTGGGCCGGGCACGAGGGGTGTCCCTCAGGGCTCTGCCTCGGCCCCGCGGCTCCTCAGGGCCTTGGGCAGGGACACGCAGTGGCACCAGCGCACCCTCAGCACGGGGCAGGGCACAGGCAGCTGAGCGGGGCAGGGCACACCCCGCAAGGACGGGGCCATCCACAGCCCCCTGCACAGGCTGCACAAGTGGCACCACCACACCCTCAGCAGCTTCCACAAGGCCAGGGGCCAGCTGCTGCCCCTGGCTCGGGGCAGTCCCAACACTCACACAGTCATCAGGGAAGAGCCCTCCAGGATCCTCCAGTCCCACCCTCCCCCAGCACCACCACGCTCACCCCTAATCCCTGTCCCCAAGGGCCTCATCCAGACACCTCTGGAACACTTGCAGAGACAGTGACTCCACCACCTCCCTGGGGCACTTATTGCAAGGCCTGGCCACTCCAGCAGGGAAAAATTGGTTTTAATATGTGAGGTGAACATCCCCTGGTAGAACCCGCTCCTCACACCCCGGGATTTCCTGTCATCCTTTCCCTTGGGACATGGCAGAACAGACCGACCCCCTGAGGCTCCTCTGGAGCTTGGCAGACCCTCCACAGCACTGACCCCCTTTATCAGCTCCCACTTTGTTCTTTCCATGTCCTTCCCAGCCAAGTTCACCTGCCCTCAGGGTGAGCCACCTTTTCAAGCCCTGTCATGGGAGTGTTCAGCGAGATCTACACCAAATTCCGCTGCTGTGTCAGCATCCTCCCCCCTCAGGGCTGCTTCCCAAATCAAAACACGTGGCACCATCTACTCGAGAAGGAGGAATTTTATTGTTTCCATCAGCCAGGTTTCCTTGGGAATGACCAGGACAGCTCTCTAGACAGACTCTCTCATGATCTTGGTGAGTTTCTGGATCTTGGACCTTGTTGACATGTCCACGTACTTCTCCCCAATGTTGACAATCATCCCGCCGAGGATCGAGGGGTCAGTCTAAACAAGGAACATTGAACAGGAAGGCTGTGAGCAAAAGTTTCTTAGCCTAGGATACAACTCTGACACTAGCAAAGGAAAGAATAAAGCTCTTCAAAGAGCCTTTTTTGAGAGAACTTTGTGGTCACTGCATTCCAAAGTTAGGATTTTAGGAATTAAAGCATCATCATGTCTACGAGAAAGAAAAGAACTGTGTAACAGCAACAGGATTTAGTGAAATCTTTAAGATAATTTTTAAAGGGTTTTTTAAACTCTTAACATGAACTTGATGAAATTTATTTATAAAGTCCAAACTCCAGACCTTGGTCTCCAGCTTCAAGACCTCTCCCTTAGCCAGGAACCCATTCAGAGCACTTTTCAGTTCAGTCAGGTTGGCCTCATCCAAGGGCTGAAAAACAGGAACAGAAGAGAAGCAAAATTAAGGACTTGAAAATATTCAAATGATAGAACAAGGACCCCAATATCCTACTCAGATCCTTTGGAAGACAGACCCGAGTACCAGGAAGGCAGATTAAGCAGTGTTCTGGAACGGGGACAACCAAAGGGCAGCACAGGAACAACAACCACCTTGGTGCCCTCCTTATTCATGAACCAAGAACAGGGGCAGCTCTATGTGCACACCAGGCTGAGTTTTAATCACCCCCTGGCTTCACACACAGCAATAAAAAGCGGGACCTGAGAAGCTGAAATGGGAGGAACAGCTTTAATTTTTGACAAGTCTCTGCTGGGGATCCAAACCCTCCCTGCAGAAAGACGTCCAGCTTGGCAGGGTTGAGACGTTTCCTCGCTGCTCACACAGCAAGCCCTTCAATTGCAGGGAGCAGGGGGAGCCTGCAGAGGTTTGCCTGCTCTCCCAGGGCCTGCTCCCAGCCCACCTGTGCCGTGGTGACCGTGCACACCACCTCTCCTCGCACCGCGCTCATGATCTTGGCGAAGGCGGACACGATGCCCGGGGTGTGGCGCAGGCGGCCGTTCTCAGCCAGCAGGTCTGGAAAACACCAAAGCACCGAGGGCTCAGAGCACCCCCCGGGCACATCCGGGCAGCCAAGAGCCACAGCAACGGGTGGCACGGCTTGGATGCTCTCCTGGAGCCCAGGGGTCACTCACTCATCAGGTTGACGGTGATGGGGGACATCTTCTCTCTCGCCAAGGCGTCGCTCACGGCTTTTTGTTTCACTGTGCCCTTGGTGTGAGGGTTCATCACCACACTGGACAGTTTGGGGTCCTTCAGCAGGGTCTGAGGGGAGACACAGCTATGGGACAAAGGCCAGGAGTTTTCCAGGCATTCCAAGGCCCACCTGGACCGGCCAGAGCAGGAAACACGGGTAGTCCTGGAGTGAGAACAAAGAGCTCTGGAGCTGAGGGGAAGTGGAAGGGCAGCTGCTGCTACAGAATCATGGAATGCTTTGGGTTGGAAGGGACCTTAAAGATTAAATGGACCTAGTTCCACCCCCTTCCACCAGCCCAGGTTGCTCCAAGCCCCATCCAACCTGACCTTGGACATTCCAGGATCCAAGGGGCAGCCACAGCTTCTCTGGGCAAACCTGGGCCAGGGCCTTCCCCACCCTCCCAGCCAAGAATTGCTTCCCAATATCCCATTGAAACACTGGGGCACAAGGCAGGAAGCACATGTGCCAGGGGACTGGGAGTCTCAGAGGCTGCAGGAGCCAAGCCCACCCCCCTCCTGAGGAGCAGGTAAGCCCCCCTGCTCCCACACCCGGGGAGCTCCAGCTGTGGAACACCTTACCCACACCCGGGTCAGCTCCTTCTCCACCTGCTCCAGCTTCTTCTGCTTGCTGGCTGCAGAGTACAGGGCGGTGGCATAGCGTCCCTCCAGCCCGTACACCTGGATGGGCGGCTGCGGGGAGAGCGGGGGGTGCTGAGAGGGGGCACCTGGGGGGCACAGACCCCCCTGCCCCTCGGCTTCACCAGCCTGGAGGACCCCCAAACCTGCCACTGTTTGGTACCAGCCTGGAGACCCCACCCGACTCTTCACATAGACCACATAGCTTGGAGACCCCTTGTCAGCCACCGCTTTGACCAGCCTGGAGACCCCCTCTACTCCTCACCTTGTCTAGCCTGGAAAGCTCCCCAACTCCTCACCTGGATCAGCTTGGAGACCCCTCACCCTCTCATACAAACCAGCCCGGAAACTCCCCCAACTCCTCACCTTGTCCAGCCTGGAGACCCCCCTACCTCTTCACACAGACCATCCTGGAAACCTCCCCAACTCCTCCCGTCGACTAGCTTGGAGACCCCCCCACCCTCTCATACTAAC